GCTTCCTACCCCATGACGGTTACATCTCGACTCTCTGTGTTTCTCCTGTGTTTCTCTTACCCAGAGTCCTCCTTGATTCCTAGTCCCACCTATCTTGGTTCTTGACATATACACAGGACTTACCCCATCACATATGAATGGTAACTTCCCTTCTGTGGTCTACAGTCTACTTTTCCTCTCAGCATCATACCTGTGATGTCCCAACATCTCCTGCCTTCCCTCTGCTCAAAGGGCAAGGACCCTTAAAGGTCTGTGTCCATCTGCACAGGGTTCAGCAGCCCGCTAAGATGAATGCTATTGCCGGCAAATGTAAGACCTGGTTTCGAACTCTGTCATGGGCCACTACATATCGCTCACTAGCGACGTGTCTTCATAGCCTAGCTTGCAGCTTCTGTGGTTCATTTTTTATGCTAGTATTTGATAACCCACGATCTCAGGAATTACTTACTCCTTGGGATTCATTAATAGTTGTCCTTGTAGTTGGAGCCTTTCTGCCTTAAGGTAAACTGTCACAGACGTGCCCCTTTCTCCTGGCTACTGAAGATCACATGTTCTCCACTCACCAGCGCGCCACCTGGAATTGATGAGCTATGGTTTGATTTCACTTACTCTTGATACGGAGGATTGCTTATCTCATTGTGGTGACCAGATAACCGGCAAGAAGCAGCCTGGAGGAGGGAGCGATTATTTTGACTGCGTTTCTCTCACTGGCCTGGTTTCCAGGCTGAGCTCCCAGCCCCTTCTCCAGCCAACGCTGTTGGTCCCCTATCCCCTACCAACTTACATAAGGAAACAATGTCCTAAGCACTGTCCTCCAGTGGAGCCCTCGGCTACACCCCTGGGAGTCCAGCCACCCTCCTAAGGTGGTTTCTATGGAGAAAGGTGGGCTGATGTCCTAGCAGCAACTAGGGACTGACTTCAGGGTTGCAGCCCTCTCTCCTGTGGCTCAGAAAGGCCTTTATGGTTAGCTGCCTGAGTCCTCGGGATGTAAACACAGGTGACCTGATTATGCCCGCCACTTCCTCTCACCATTTGGGGTTAACTCAGGGAAGGGACTAAATTAAGCCTTGAAACCAAGCAGCCTCGATGACAGGCACTTTGTTGTGCTTGAGTGACTGTGATGATGGGTCTCTGGTTATAAGGATAGCACTAATCTCTTGAGAGCAGCCGTGGCGGTCCTGTTGTAGAGTCCTGTTCCTGCCCTGTAGAGACAGGAGCTGCCAGGACCCTCACAGGACTCACGTTCACTCAGCGTGGCTCTCCTGGGCACTGTGCTCTGAAGCAGTGGCTTGGGCACTCCTGTCCCAGAATCCTGAGCCTCTAGAAGACCCGGACACAGAAGGGACTGGTGTTTAGAGACCCTTCCACCCACAGCAGAGTGAGGGGTGGGTTTCTACAGAGCTTGTATCTTTTTTGTTGTTGCTTTGGTTTTTTTTGAGATAAAGTTTCTCTGTATAACAGTCCTGATTGTCCTGGAACTCACTTTGTAGACCAGGTTCACCTCAAACTTACTGAGATGTACCTGCCTCTCTCCCGAGGGTTGGGATTAAAGGCGTGAGTCACCACCGCCTGGTGGAGCTTATATAATTCCTGGGGCACAGAGTGGCCAAAATTAAGGGAAAGGGAGTCAGTCCTCACTTGCCAACAAGCAAACAGATGTCACTGCACTAAAAATCTGTTCAACACACTTACATGCCCACGCCTGTCTTCCTCTGCCGAGTATATATAGCAATGAAGAAAAATAACATACATTTAAATTTTACATTAGAAAAAAATGTGGGGCTGGAATTAAAATGCACATCTGCAGTATTTAAAGGGGGAAATCATCAGATCTGCTGTTTGCTTTGAAACATTCTGAAACAGAAGGCGGGTAGATGGGGTGGGTGGATGCGTGTTGAAGCAAGCATGTGCCAGCACACAGGAATGGTGGAGCAGGTGTGTGATGCTGGCTGCGAGCTGTGCTAACTGTGGACCACTCTCCTACACATTGTTCACATGTGGCACCAGCAGATGAGTGCAATAACATGCACAGCCGTGCAATCCATGACAGTGCCATACCCAACTCCCCTCAGATTCCGTTAACCATAGACTAGATCCATCCGTCCACAGGGTGTAGATCCAAGAGACTGTTTCTAAGAGAGACTGGATGAGCGAGGCTACATGGGTGGTGAGCCTTCCAAAGCAATGCAGGGAGAAGAAGCCAGCATCCTAAAAGAGAATGTGTGTGAACACGTTTGTAAAAAAAAAATCAAAGCCACAAAGCCAGGCAAAGCTACCTACAGTGTTAGGAGTCACTTGAGAGCTGTCAAGAGGAGGAGTAAGGGACAGTGACTTAATGGATCACCACGGGAAACCCCCAGGGATGCAGAAGGCTGTTTATTTTTAATCTTAGCACTAAAGTGTGTATCAAGCTATACACTTAAGGATGTGTCCTTTTATACAACATTGAAAATGGAAGGAAGAAAGACAAAACAGCTTTCCCTGACTGCTCTGGGGGTCAGAATCCACCCAAAGCTCGCCCAGCAAGCACTGATGCACTCCATGCAGTGTCCGTCTCTCCTGTCGTCACTGATGGGCTCCGCCCTTCGCACAGACAGTATACTGTACTCGGTAGAGTGAGTGGCTCTGCGAGGCTTCCCAGGGGGTCACATGGACAGCAGAAGGGGTGAGAAGACATTCATGGTGGGTCCTCACTCCTGACACCTGGATTTTCAACAGTGACCTTCTGTTGACACAAGACATCTTGTGATCTATACATTAACAGTCTCCAGAGAAACAAAAGCAGTGGTGTATGAGGAAGCATGTTTGGATGGGCATGTGTGGTGTGTGTGTGTGTGTGTGTGTGTGTGTGTGTGTGTGTCTGTATGGGTGTATGTGTATTTCTACACATATTGACATACATGTTTCTTTCTTTTTACATATATTGTCCTTGTTAGATTTCTAGTGATAAATACATGACCAAAAAGCGACTTGAGTAAAGAATCTATTCCATCTTTCAGCTTACAGCACACTGTCACAGAAAATCATGGCAAGAACTACTGGCTTGCTCTCCATGGCTTCCTTATACAACTCAGGATCAACTACGCAGGAGTAGCACCACCCCTAATGAGGTGGGCCCTCCCTCATCAATCATTAATCAAGAAAAAGACGTAATATAGACTTGCCTACAGACAGTTTGATGGGCGCATTTTCTCAGTTGGGGTTTCTCATCCCAGATATATCTGTGTTTGTGACAAGTTGGCAAAAACCAACCAGCACACATATAGGTATCATCATCCACGCTAACCATAAATATCAGAAAGCTTTTAGCTGGGAAGATGCAGTTCCTTCACGAAGGAAGTCTGGTCTGTCCCCAGATCCCATCCCCAAAAGGCTCCATGTGTTAGCATCTTTTAAACATAAATGGGGTAGAAATAGACAAAGAAGGGTTCAAGTGCTGACCTCAGGGTGACTATGCTAAATACCGTAATGCATAAACATTAGTCTTGCCTATTAAAAACACACAAGGCATACAAAGGAATGACAGAAACACACACCTACCATTCGCAATGATAGCAGCAAACACCCCAGTATCCACTGTCCAGCCTAACTTGCAGAGAGTGATCAGCATTTCTGAAGGCCACTGTGCCCCCCTCCAGGGAATCACTCACTGCTTTAGCTAAAGGAAGACACTCGCCTGAATTTAATGTTCATCGTTCTTTGTTACAGAACTCAAAATGCACCTTGACCAGCAGTGTGCTGTTTGGAGCCTTCACAGATAACCAGGCTGCCCACCTTCTGCTGTAGCGTGCTTTTCCCCTCCAGTGTCTGGGCATGGTTCATGCTGTCAGAGACAGCTGCAGCTCTGCCATCTCACTGTCATGGAATATTCCAGTCTTGTGGCTCTGTTACCACGTGGTCACTGACTCACACCTGGGAAACCTCCAGCTCATTGCTGGGACAGCTGCTCCTGCAGCTGGATGAGTGGCTTCTCAGCCTCCAGGTACACACAAAGCCCCTCTCTCTCTCTCTCTCTCTCTCTCTCTCTCTCTCTCTCTCTCTCTCTCTCTCTCTCTCTCTCTCTCTCTCGCAGGTGCACAGCTGGGAGAGCAGGTACTGAGCTACAGACTGTGACTCCTTACTTTCCTAACTAGTGCCAAATGGTGTCCCAGATCAATTGTGCCTGCATGTATCCCCACCAGAGACCATGAGAGGTGGGGCCTCCTCCTTCACACCTCCCGGGGAGCCTCCTCTCAGGCCAGGGCTTCAGAATGCATGTGAAGGTGATGCCCCTATGTCCTCCTGAACACACAGAACACACTCATCTGACTGTGACCCAGCACATAAGCATAAATGACCTCCGCACTGGTTTTAGTATGACTACAACAGCTGTCTGTTTCTGCTTCATGGGAAATGGAGAGCAAGCTACACTGAGCGGGTGGTTCAGGGTTTGTGTCTTTACGTTATTAGTATCTCATTCCTGAAATTCGTAACTTATGTTCTGACACCTCTGTGTGTGTGTGTGTGTGTGTGTGTGTGTGTGTGTGTGTGTGTGTGTGTGGCCAGTAGACCTGTGTGTGTGCACAAATGTGGAGGCCAGGGGTCAACCTCTGGCTGTCATCCTTAGGAAAGTTGTTCACCTCCTTCAAGACTGTGTCTCTTCTTTTTCTGAAGCTAACTAATTGGACTAGACTGCCCAGTGAGCCCCAGGGATTCTCCTGTGTCTACCTCCCCAACACTGGGATTCCAAGTATCCACACTTTGTGGGTGCTAGGGATCTAATCCAGGTCCTCCTACTTGCAAGGCAAGCACTTGACTGGCTGAACTATCTGCCCAGTCCCCATGTTCTGCCATGTGTCTGTGACCAAGAGAGATGTGACCCAAGATTGTGTCCGATGCTATGGACGTCACTTCCTCCCACCTATGATCTAGTCCTGGAGCCTGTGGTTGCCCCACCCTTGCACCTGGCCTAGCAAGGATACTGGGAAATGACCATTTTTTTTTGTTTCTCTTCATTACAGGTTAGCCTGTCGAGGAAGATAAAGACATTTGCAACCAAGATGGTAATCACAAGTGGGAATGATGAAGACCGGGGAGGCCAAGAGAAAGAGAACAAAGAAGAGAGCGTGCTGGCCATGCTGGGCATCATTGGGACCATCCTGAACCTGATCGTCATCATCTTTGTATACATATATACCACTCTGTGAATGGCCCCACGCAGCCTCGGCGGCCTCAGGGTGGCCACAAGACAAGGGTCCTATGTGTCCACATAGGTGACCAGACTCTGCAGGGGCCCAGCGGGTTTGAAGACCACACACTGCTCCGTCAATGCACCTTCGAACTTTCTATCAGGCCACCAAATGAACCCATCCTGCCATGAGGAGCAGACATTCTGAAGCACAATGAATCCAACGAAACCCATTCAGGTCACAAGGAACTCAGCGTCCCTGGCAGGGGACCTGGCAGAATGCTGGGAGGATCAGCCTTCGGCACTAGTGGTGAGCAAATGGGTGAGGAAATGCCTCGTCCTGGAGTGCTGACCACATCCCACCCTGGGATGCAGGATGCGTGGGGCAGATGCAGCTCAGCTGCCCACCTCCCAAGACCAGTTCTAGGGGTGATCCGCTCACAGGCATCCCATTTGTCAAATGTATCCAGCTGTTTGATACGGGAGATAGCTTATTTTTCGTTTTTCATTGGCTTGACGTGTGTATCTGTTCATATCAAGGTTTATAAATATATATTTTTAATAAATGTGCTCTATTTTTTAGCATGAACCAAATATTTGGAGAAGCGCTTCTGGATCCACAGCTTTTCTTGGTTTTAATCGCTTTGCTCCATCAACCGCAGAACATCTTTTTCCGTAGCCGTCCAGTTGTCTCAACTCCTTTGCCTTCCTGCTCTTCTCCCTCCCCACCGCTGCCTCTCTCCTCTCTCATCCTCCTTCCACCCCCTCCCCTCACTCCCCTAACTCTCCTCCTTCCACCTCCTCCCCTCCCTCCCCTAACTCTCCTCCTTTCACTCCCCCCGCTTCCCCCCTCTTCCTCTCCTCCCCCGTTCTCTCCTCTCTTCTTTCCCTCTCTCCCCTCCCATTCTCCTCTCCTCTCCTCCTCAACTCCTCTCTCCCATTCTCCTCTCCCCATCTCCTGTCTAGAGGACATTTTCCCGTAATACCAGCCACGGTCTTGGCTGGCGCATGTTTCAAGACTGTCGAGCGGCGTTTCTTTGTTCTGTCAGAGATCTAAAATGATTGTGGGCATGCAGACCTTAGATGCACCCTGTCTTCAATGAGAATTATGCATGAACAAGGGCTGAGTGACAGATCGGCTTTCAACGTGTTTTAAAAGGACTACCACTGAGGAGGACGAGTGTGTCCCCGCCTGCAGGTCACCCGTGGGATGGAGCAGTCAGCAGCTCACTGGCCGTGTTGCTCATTCACTCCTGTAACCATTCATTATCAGATTTTTTTGTGTGTGTGACCGTGTGAGATGGGAACGGGAATGGGGTAAGCTCAATGTTTGGTATGCCATCCCTTCTTTGGTGAGGCGCCTGAGGGGTGGGGTCTCTTCGGAAGTTGGTGGTACACGAATGATGTGTACCCATCCCACTGTAAGAGCGTATACAGTCAGTTCCTGCTGTAAAGATGCCACTGTGACAAGCGACCCTCCAAGGGCATTGCAAGGGGACTTAATGATCTCCCTAGAGGACCTTGAACATTTTAAAGCTGGTTTCTACACACACGAAGCTATTTCCTCCCTGAGGGGGTGGTTGAATAAATACGAATTTGCCCTACTCCCTGGCTCCCTAACATAGACCCAGCCAGGCTGCCATGGAGAGGGTCAGTGTTCATTCCACCACTGGCAGAAATGGCAACAGCTTTCCTTCCCCGTTGGATTCAGATGATACTGAGGGGTCTCTACCTGCCCCCTTCATTAAATGGCACCATGAAGGAGTCATTCCTCAGGCTCCACTAAGGGACCAGTCTCTTTTATAAATCAAATACCCGAGAGCAACTGGCTCTGGCCAGAGATGTCTCCACCTCCCCACCAAAAGAGGGACACTCTGTACACAAGTCACCCAGCCCTGAGTAGCCCATGAGACGGAGAGTCTCTCACCTGTGTTGTAGAAGAAGGAAGGACAGCTCAGACCAGGAATCTCCCCTGAGATTAGCTGATACCCAGTGGAGTCAGATCCTAGCCTGTCCAGTTCCTTATCCCAGCTAGGGAAAGCCTATTGCTTTGCCAAGGGCCAGCCCTGCACCTCCCTCCCCCTCTCCTATAATGGAAACAACCTGAGAACTCCTTGGACACTGGCAGAATGTAACACAAATAAGGACAGGGGAGAAATTCAAGAGACACCCAGGGGAGAGCGCTACCTATAGGCTGTGGGATTCTGGAAAAACTGTAATTCTGGACAGTGCATTGAGTGAACAATAAAGGTGCGATGGGGAAGAGATTGGTGTCGTCAGCTTCCTTCTGAGTATTTGTGTATTCATTTTATTTAACAACACTTGACCGTGGCTGTATTTATTTAATTTATTTACTTTGAGGCAGAGTCTTATGTAGCACAGGCTGTTCTTGAACTTGCTAAGTAGCTGAGAATGACCTTAAATTCCTGATCTCTGTGTCACCACCTCCCCAGTACCAGGACCACAGGCGTGTGCCACCACAGCCTGACTGAATGTGATCCTATTAAACAGAACTCTGTCTGGCTTGAACTGGACAAGCCTCTGACTTTTGAGGGTGTTAATTAGGAATTTATGGAAAAGAAAGGAGGGGGAAAAATCACCTTTCAGATCCTCAGCACAAATTCCTGGCCGTTCTTCTAGCTGGCCCTAATCTACAGCCTGGAAATAAAGCTGCCCTTTGCATGGCTGACACACAGTGTGGACCATTCCTGCCCTTTGCATGGCTGACACACAGTGAGGGCCATTGTTTTCATAAATCCAGCTCTTGTATCCACCAAAGGCTGTTTAGTAGAAAATAATAGCGTACACTGGGCAGGCTTATAGCCATCACCTGACCTGACGTTTGTGGGGGACATTGGGCTTGAGGCGGTGGGAGAGGGGAGGAGGGAGGTGTACAACCGACTCTTCCCATTGGTTGAGTCAGCCTAGCCCAGCTTCAGCCAGCACTCTGGTTCCAGCACCTTCCACCCTCAGTGCAACACAGACAATCTCAAAAAAAAAACAGGAAGTTTGTATCTCTCCTGCTCTCTCTCCAACAATCGCATCACATTCCCCTCCCGCCTTCCACTCTACCTCTAAAGCCCAGGACAGAGGTGTTAGACACAGCCAACACCTAGGCTTGCTTGGCTTAGGGCCCCTTTTGCTAACTGTCTTCAAGCACGAGAAAGCCTGTGCACCTCCCTCTTTCACTGTTCTTCATGGAAACAGTCCATTGAGCATCCCTTCCTAATAGCTACTTCAGAAGCCCTGGTGTTGATACTGCCACATCCAAAGAGGAGAAAAACTGAGGGACCAGATTCCTGACTCCTGTTCTGAAAATCCTCCAGCCATACTCCATGCCCTGCCTCCCTATCCACAGAGCCTCTGCCATGGTAATCCTTCAGAAGGACCACCTTGTGGTCAGGAAGACCCTCCTACTGTTACATAAGGCTTCCTGCCTCTCGTGGAAAAGCAGATGGAAGGAACAGATTGCTCACACTTTGTGTTCATAAGCATTTGACACCCATCTATGCGTGCATTCCCAGAAGATGGGCTGCTGTGCCCTAAGAAATAGAATCGCACGGCCGCTGAAGATTTTTTCATACAAACGTGAAAAGGCATACTTCTCTACTGTACTTCCGTGAAAGACTGGAACAGAGTCAAGAAGGGGTGTCTCAATGAGAAGGCCTTTAATTAAAGGTGAGCATACCTACCAGGTACCCTGAGAGTTGGCTTCACACCTGAGTGTTTAGCTCTATCATTGGTCCTGGTTTCCTGATGGCCAGCACTACTCTGTGTCCTGCCAGACCCAAGTCTGGGAAACAAAGGGGCAGTGACAGAATAGCCTTACATGTTATGGCTCAATCAATAATAATAATTATTATTATTATTATGTCGGCCAGTGGGTCTTGGTAGCATCTACCTGATTAGAATAAGCACAAGGTTGAGTCAGTCTTAATTCTGGGAAGATCAAAAAGTTGTTTTCCATTAGCCCTTCATCACTCTTCTTGAGAAGGGGCATTGCTACCTCATAAAAGCCGAGGTTGTTCCAGATAGACTGTCCATGCAAGCTAGTCATGAATGAAATCTATTGCGCTATCTATCATCACTTCATTCCTGCGACTTCCAATCAGACAGGTACCTGCCCATATCTCTGTATTCAGGAATAAGCTATCACGGTTTCCAAGGGGATTCACACTCACAATTCTTGACTTCCCATAGCAGCACCATCCTCCTCCTCCTGGGAATTATTACCCACTCTCCTCCCACCACTGGAGATTCATTATCCCAGTCACTGAGATCCTCACCTGACCATGCTAGGCCCATTGTTCTTTGAGCTTTGTCTTTGGTTCTGAAGAGTTCACCTCAGTGTTTCTAGCACTAAAGACTCCACAGTAGGACTTTGGGCTCTGAAGTTCTGAGGTTGCCTCAGTATTGAAGAGCCCTGTGATGTGATGTTGACTCAGCCACCCAAGCTCTTGTCACCTTTTTGTACAGACAAGGTGATGGATGATTCTATTACCTGTGGGTGTCTGAGCCTGTCTAGTCCTCCTCACCCAAGACATCCCCTTTGGTTTTTTTTTTCTGAATATCATAAAAGCCACCAAGGAATAGAAATAAAATATGGAAAGAAACATCTATATTTAAGTTCTGACTCTAGCATTTATTGGCTATTGACCTTGGACCAAATCCTCCATGTTTCTGAACCTTCATTTCCTTAATACCATAGGAATTACATTTCAATATAAAATCACTTGGCAACAAAGAAATGTATTCTTTAACCAGACATCGATTAAGTGATTAAAGATTGGTAATAGACATATGTATTAGCTTTGTTCACATTAAGGGGTGATACTAGATTCAGATACAATATTGTTGAAAAATCTTTTTCCTGTCAAAATGGAACCAGAGATGGTGTCCAGGTCACCTGATTGAAAACCATGAAGACCATGGATAACTCATGAGAGTCAGTTTCCTCCTTCCTCCTTCCTCCCTCCTTCTTCCTCCTTCCTCCTTGTGGTTTCTGGGGCTCAAACTCAGGTCACCAGGCTTGGAAAATCCCATTACCCACTGAGCCACGTCAAAGTCCTTGCCCAGTCACTTTTGCAAGGAGAGACAGTGATGGAGCGACAGTCACTAGAAGAAGTCACTTTGGGTCTCTGGGTACAGTAAAAATAACACCAATGGGGTCAGAGGCCCCCAGATAGCAAAGTAGTTAGGAATAATTATCAACTCATTACACAAGGCCAATATCACCCTGATACAAAAATCAAATGATGATTAATTTTTCCTAGTGCACCAATGGCTATCATGGGCATAAATACAAAAGTCACCGGTGGACAGAGCCTAATATTCACATCAAACTTCCTCATAACTGGACAAGTTAGACACCCCAAGTCGTCTCTACAAGGACAAAGCATATTTAAACATTTTCTTTATCCTTTCCTTCCCAAAATTGGAAGCAAAATGCCATTATGAAATTATGACTTGACTGAGAATAAACTTGTAAAATATAGACAATGGCAGGCCTTTGCTAAGAAAGATTCCGAAAGATCCAGGCAAGAGAGGACCTTCCAGGTCTTCAGATGAAAGGGCTTGCTACTGTTAAGA